TCAAGCAGTTCTCCCTGCCTCAGCTTCCCGAGTAGCTGGGATTATAGGTGTGTGCCACCACGCTTGGCTAATTACAAAAATTTTTAACATAGGCAGGGTTTTGCCATATTGGCCAGGCTGGTCTCAAACTCCTTACCTCAAGTGACCGGCCCACCTTGGCCTCCTAAAATGCTGGGATTACAGGCTTGAGCCACCGTGCCCGGCCCGATCCTGACATCTTTTAAAGCTGCCTTCATGTACCAAAAACCAGTCTATGCTTGAAAATCAGGCTTGAAAGAGCCTAGGAGGAAGGAGAGGGATATAGTTCAGCTAGGTAAATAACTATGCGTATGTTAAAAATAGGGGCCAAAATCTACCCCAAATGTTAACTCTTCCGCTTTGCCTTTGTGTTTTATATCCATTTATGGTTATCCATTCAGTATCAAGATTTCTGAAGATTCTTTTGATAATTATGGACAAATTACTGTTAAAATTCAGCTGCATTTGTAACACTTTAAAGAACTAATTGGATGACACTATTTTTCTCGGAGGCATTTTGGATAGTTACATAATTAATGTTTATCTCTTTGCCAGATTTTTTTTTCCCCCAGAACAGAAACCTGAAAAGAAACATTCCTTTGCATTAAGAGCTATTTCACTGTGTGACAACCAATTTTTGAATGTGAGAACAAGATCATCGTGTATTTTTGGGATAATTCTTGCTTAACAGTGATAATGCTAAGTGTTAAAATTATGGAACAATTTGATTCTTTGAAAATTACTATTTGCCTGCTCACCAGGTGGGAGCTGATGAGAACGTGGATGTAAAAATTAAATTGTTTTTAGCTTGTATAAAAAAAGTTTAAAAAAAAAAAAAGCTTTTTTGTTTTGTGCTACTACTGAAGTTACTTAGCTGTGGAAATGAGGTTATTGCAGGCACCTAGAATTTTATCTCCTTCACTTCCACAATGGGAAGAAATTCTCCAACAAGCACAGAAATCTGACTTTCTGATACTGAGACTCCTAGGCATCAAGCCCCATGGAAGGGGGGGGTGATTACGTGAGCGTTGATGTTGATGTGGGCATCCTCTAAGCCGGACGCAGGGAGCAGGGAAGGGCAGAAAGAATAGGCCCCTCAGGAGCCATGAGAAAATAAAGTGTTGGCAGCAGTGGTGGTGAGGGTTGGTGTCAGGGGCCAGGAAGAGGTGGTGAAGGGAGCATGTGCCTCAAGGCAGCCCTGGAACCCGCGGTCCCTGCAGTGAGGTCTGGTTTGCAGAGGACGTGGACGGCCACGCGGCAAGGCCTACAGACAGCTTGGACTTGGCTGCCTCAGAACTCTGGTGGACGTTGCAAATGGCCCCACAGCGTTGCAGTGCACATTCCTCGGACAGAAAGAAGATGCTTGGAACTGTTCCCGGCACAAAGCCAGCACCCTGTGAACAGTGGCTGCTGCTGTTGTGACTGAGTGCCGTCCAACTGGGGGCATTTGCTCTGCTCAGTTCACTTAATTGGGCCAGGAATGGGGTTGCCCTGCCTTCAACAAGTTTGACGGATTGAACGAGGACTCAGTTGATAATGTACTCTGTAAATACGCTCTCCCGGCTAGAGTGAGCAAAGCCCAGCGAGCCGGTGGTTTTTCAGTATTAGCCAGGTGTTTGTGGTGGGGCCAGCTGTGCGACTGCCAGAGCAAATGTGACCAGGAAGCCTCTGTCCCCTCAAGGTGGCCAGCGTTCCTGTTATACGTGCCATAGGCAGAAGGTGGGCACTGCTAGGGAACTTGCTCATGTTCCTGTTTTCTGATTGGAAATTCAAGGTTTCTGAGCATCTTACATTGAATTTGGACATTGCTGAGACTGTACACATTTCAACACTTGTTTTTTTCTGCTTTTCGGATCTATACAACCTGGCATTTGGCCATGGCTTCCAGGACAGGCTGGATGCCGAGTGAAGCCCTCTCCTCACTGTCAATGTTTGCAGATGTCTTTTTGTATACACTTTGTATTTCTTGAGACTTTCTATTAGGTTTTTACATAGCTAGACTTTTAAAATTGCCATGCACATAACTCTACCAGTTACAATCCTGAGCTAACATGGGTTTTTGGTTTTACTTTGATGAATGTTTAACATTTGCATCCTGGATGTGGGGGTGGAGGTCATTTATCTGCTTTTCATTTCCTTCTTGGTTATACTTACCTGAAAGTCACTAAGGTGTGGAAGGCGTGGTACAGGGTAAACTGCAGGCTGCACTGTGGCGCGGTGGACAAGAGGCACAGGCTGCAGTGGTGTGCACAGTGCATGAGAGAAAAGAGGAGAGACTTCCATCCTCGAGGGAAACACACAACAATTTAAAAAACTGATCATCTAGCTTACATGAGGTCCAATAAATTCAGTTTGCAAAGTTTAACTTCCAAGTTAATTGAGTAATTTTTCCCCTAAGTCATTAATTTAGTAGCTTATGTTTAAATATATTTCTTTTGTCTAACGCAAGTCATAAATTCTAAAATGAATGACTAAACATGTAACAATTTAGGCATACAGCACCTGAAGGCAAAACCGCCGGTATGCTAAAATATTGGATATAGATGCTTTAAAAATATAACGTAGCATTCTTGCAGTGCTTGTGCTGTTAGCATGTAACTTTGGTGAGTAGTTTTGAGCTATGTTTGTAGGAATGTGTATCTTGAATACTTCAGGGCACCACTGCAGATGTGTGCGTAAGATGTATAAATACTGAATGTTCTGCTCCCTTCCCTTAAATGAAAAGCATTAGCTCCCGTTTATTTTTATTTTTAATTTTATTTTTTTTTAAGTGGACTCTTGCTCTTGTTGCCCAGGCTGGAGTGCAGTGGCGCAATCTTGGCCCACTGCAACTTCTGCTTCCCGGGTTGAAGTGATTCTCCTGTCTCAGCCGCCTGAGTAGCTGGGATTACAGGCACCTGCCACCACGCTCGGCTAATTCTTGTATTTTTATTAGAGATGGAGTTTTGCCATATTGGCCAGACTGGTCTCAAACTCCTGACCTCAGGTGATCTGTCCACCCGGACCTCTCAAAGTGCTGGGATTACAGGCGTGAGCCACTGTGCCTAGCCAGCTCCCTTCAGTAATGATTTATACAGTTGTTTTTGCTTTTTGTTTTTTTGAGATGGGGTCTCACTCTGTCGCCCAAGCTGGAGTGCAGTGACGCAAATCTTGGCTGACTGCAGCCTTCACCTCCTGGGCTCAGGTGATCCTCCCACCTTAGCTTCCTGAGTAGCTGGGAATAGACACATGTCACCATG